TATATATATATATATGATGGTCTCTCCCGACGATTTCGACTTTTGATGATCCGACAAACTAATTCAGTTTTTTACTTTTGTGCAAGATGTGACTCTTCAGTCCTGCTAGTGACCTGCATACAAGTCCACATATTGTGCCACAGCAAATATAACGAGACAAGAACACTTGTTGATGCTTTTCACCGTTGTTCTTTCCCAACAGTCATTTGTCCACATGTGAAGCTGGCTATACATGTGGGCCTTAGGTATTTTGTGATTACATATTTTTGCAGCATGATTAGCCCAGCGACGTTGTCAGTTCCTCAAGTAAATCAGAATTCCACCAACGTTTCATTTTCTGAGTAGATCAATTATCGTCAAAAGTACAGCCACATATCGCGCGGACACACACACACACACACACACACACACACACACACATATATATATATATATTATAATAAAAAGAAATACACCCTACCATGATGAAATGCACCCCTACCATCTTTAGACTTAACCTCTTTTTCGAAGGTAACTCATAATTGATACAATAATAGTTGATAAAAATGAACACGCTACCGCCCCTGTCTAAATGATTGGATTTCACTGTACCCTTGGAAAGAAAATGTTATGAATCGTATGTGCGTTTAAAAACTCAGTTAATTTAAAAACAAGTTATTCCAAAATTCGTTTGAAGATGAAACAGAAGTAATGCTTTTAATTTAATTATATAATTAAATTTGAAGTTTTTCCTTTCGGTTATTGAAACATGGTAATTCCTATGTCACGAAGAAACCATATTTTAAATCAGTTTATTTATTATATATATATATATATATATATATATATATATATATATATATATATATATATATATATAGCGACCTTTGTTTTAAACATTTTTCATTAAATATCGCAGACAAGGAAGATTTAATTAGTTTTTATTTAGTTTTTCCAGCATACTTACATTTTTCCGTTTTGTAAGTGTAAGTGATTGCAGAAATTTTCCATAATTTTCTTTGTCCCAAACGTTTTCTACCACTTCTTTAGCAACTTTCGAGGGATTTTTGTTTTGGGTGTTGTTAGTTTTTCCTAAAGTTTTGAATGTTGTATTTCATTTTTCCGTTGTTTTAAATAGGTGCCTTTATTTCAAGTGTTGATCCAGGTTAAAATTCCCGTGATCATCTTTCTCCTTTTAAAGAACATTTTAAACGCCATTTCCACTGTTAAATAAGGTGAGGTGGATAGAAGGGGAGAGATGTTTAATTATTATTATACACAGCCTCTCTAATGCCGAGATATTTCCGATAATGTGATTTATATAGAACGTTAGTGTTTTCGAACACTAAATATATGCATATGTACATATACGAGGTTTTATCAAAATACATCGAGACTCTGGTTATGTCAACGGTGCTAAAGTACGCATATGAAAAGCTGCTTAGCACAGGTTGATCTTGACTCCATCCCGAATGTACAGGAAGTTATAATGTTCTCGCTCACTTTCGTGGTTTATAGCAGTGCTTTGAAGGAAAGGGTGTAGAATGTGGCCGTCTCACCACACCACATAGGTCCCATTAGGATTGTGCAGCAGTTTTTGGCCATGTATATACATTCCCCAGGTCCGACAAACAGGTTATTCCTCGAAATCTCGCCCCTGGTGCCATTTCCTCCTTAAAAATCAAATCCCTCTTGAAAAGAACCATATTTCAAGACTTCAAGGAAATCAAAGATAGTGAAACAGAGCATCTGCTCGCTATCCTAAAAGAATGAATTTCAGGTATGGTTCCATCACTGTAAACGACGCTGGGTAAAGTCTGTGGCTTCAGGAGGGGGCTATTCTTATATTGATTTTCTTTATAGCAATAACCTCGATACATTTTTGGTCAGACCATCTGTAGGTTTTGTTTTCCTCATAAAATAGAAAAAATAAGTAACTACAGACACCATGGTTCGAGCGTGGCACTCCGGACTTATATTCCTAACCTTTTCAAATTTAGGGTTAACCGTTATCTTCCCCACATATCCACATAAACTATGGCTCCTACTCTATCTCGAGGTGGTTTCGAGGCCTTGTACAGGGTGAAGCTGTCAATAAAAATAAACATTACACACACCATTTCCTAAGGTGAGAACGACAAAAGCCTCTGACTAATCTATCCCATTTTTAATAGTAAAACTCCTGAAGATACGTTGATTAATTTCACCAGTTCACTCATTCACATCTAGGATCCGATATTTCATGTACACAGGGGTAAAAATCGACTTTACTTTTAGTCATGTAGGAATGAAATAAGAGCGTTTATTTCGAGTGTTGATCGCGGTTAGAATACCCGTGAGCATCTTTCTATATTTAAAGAACTTTTAATACGCCATTTCTATTGTTAAATAAGGTGAGGTTGATAGGAGGGGCGAGATGTTTAATATACACAGCCTAATTAATACCGAGATATTTCCGATAATCTGATTTATATAGAACTAACGGCACCGAGGTTCGAGCGTGGCATTTTGTACTTATGGATATATACTTTACGCCAGGTGTATAAATAGCGTTGTCAGGCAACTGACTGCAGTGATCATTGAGTGACTATTGAGTGACTATTGAGTGGAACTATCCAGTCGAATTAGTGTGAATTATTGTGCGTCGATGATTTAAGTTTTGATTTTGGATTAACCGGATGTTAAGCCGAGCCGCGCTACGAACAATGTATTCACTGAAATGGTTAATTATCTTTGGTTGACTTTTACTTCTTTGTTCCTGTGAAGTATTTATTTGCAGTTTTAATTAAATACTGTTTTATTTTAACATTGAAGTCTTGACTTATTTAATTATTAACGGCTAGCCACCGAACGTCATATAAGTTCTAAAATATACAAACCCGAAAAATAAAAATAATGACTTCAAAAATACGTCAGTCAAGAAGAATGTCTAGTTTGATTCCCCATCAGATCAGCACTTCACAGGTGCGGCGGAAAATGATAGCCGAGGAGGCGGAATGATTGAAAGAAATTAACAGATTTAAAAAGCGTTTTGAGAATTCGTATACCAAAAATATATACGATTTAATAATATGAAATATTATTATGATTGCTTGTAATTCCGTGCAGGAATCTCTGAATAAATAGTTATAAATGATTATTGACCGATTTTATCGTTCTGATATTTTGTATTAAGTCTTAAGAATATAATAACTAGGGTCCGCAAATTGTAGGAGAGAGTTATCAATGATAATGCTCTGGATCCGAATACACGGTTATCTCCCTTACACACTGTCACTATTTTTGTTTTAATTTTAAATGTACATTTTATCACATAAAATTTTGTTAGGGGCGAGCAAATTTTCATCCCGAAAATGCGGCCCAGAGAAAAGAAAAATTGTAAGAAATTCCATTAAATGCAGCTTTCAGAGGAATAAAGAATTATACTATAAATAATAACTTCAATAACAAATAATACGATTCTGTATATATATATATATATATATATATATATATATATATATATATATATATATATATATATATATATATATATGAGAGAAATTAGGAGGATTTGAGAGACTTACAATTAAGTAATTCATCGAATTTAGAAGAAACCTCAGCAGAATACGGAAAGCACTGGACGGCCGTTTCGTCCTATATTTGGGACTCATCAGCAGTTCGCATCTATTACCGAGAATTGAACCCGGGACAGTTACGTTATCAGGCAAACGTCATACAAACGGGCCTCGGTGACGAAGAGGTTACGGATCAGACTCGATATAGCGCCGCTCGATCACATATTCCGTGGTGGAACTCATCCGAGATTCTCTGGTACCCATAGAACTGTGTCCCGGACCCCACGCCAAGGCACAACTACTATTACCAAGCCGCTCCATCCAAAGCATTAGAAGCCGGTTCAAGCAAGGATATACAAGGATATATTCCTTGTATGATATTGTGCTAATGTCGAAAGTATTCTGAAACAAAATGGTAATTTTCTCTCTTTAATAAGGATATTAAGAAAATTGAACGCGAATATGAGAGTATCATTTTGAAAATAAGTTGACAATGAGACATATGTTAATATATATATATATATATATATATATATATATATATATATATATATATATTTGAATGGATAGATGTGAGTTTGTGACCCTGGCAAAAGCGTGAAACCCAGGGTCACAAACTCACATCTATCCAACCAAATATGTTAGCTCTATCTCTGATATTGAGCGCTTTCTAATAAGTACCACTTATATATATATAAATAATTATACATATATATATTTATTTATATTTATATACACTTTTCACACACACACACACACACACACATATATATATATATATATATATATATATATATGTATGTGTGTTGTGTGTGTGTGTGTGTGTGTGTGTGTGTGTGTGT